CATTGGGATTTGACTGGCCCAAATTTCCGATATTTGAGGGGTACAAATCGAACGCACAACGATTTCACTCCTCCTCTAATGATAGCCCAACAGGTTTCAACAGTTGAATCCTCTGGTAAATACCAGTCCATGTGGCTCTCTGCTCGAGTGAGGCGATTATAGTCCGCCTTCCTATAGTTGAAAGCCGGCTCCAGCGGGAGAGAATACGGCAGCGGCGGTTCCAAGTTGGCTATGAACATCGAGTGGTCACTCGCTCCCAGACGGTCCAAGACTTGAACGTCATGCACTCATTGCTCACAACTAGTCAAATGCAGGTTTAAACACGATGGAGTCCCGCGTGCATTTATGCGCGTCGACTGATTGATGTGCGGTATGGCCCCGGTTTCGAATATCAACACCCTAAACTTCCGCTCGACTTCACAATGGTCGGGGAGAAGTTCAGCCTGAGGCCACTGTATTCGGGGTACGTTGAAATCGTCTATGATCAGGAACAGCGGACGACTCATGTGACTGCGGACATGCTGCAACCAGTCCCAGTTGCTGTCTCTCTATGGCAAAGCAAACATATATGAGCTCATATATGACTATGGAAGACGTGTTTTTGGTCCTGTTTGCCACTGGTTATGCTTAAAGAATGGTGTGTCTGGACGTAGCTCATCGTCCTCCAAGATCCGTTGCGACAGTGAGCTTTTTAGCAGTAACAGTGTTGGAGATTCTTCTGAACCAAGCGTGCTGTCAGTTCTTAATATATGGGGAAACAAAGAATTACATTTTCCGTTAGCAAGCGGACCATTCCTTGCTTCCAAGGGTTGCGTTATGTATTCCTTTAATGCATTAATGTTATGTTTCTAAGTTGATTCTATAGTATGAGGATGCAAGTGATTCGTTATCTTGTACTTTCCAGCCAGAGACTCACGGTCGACTATGCAACTCGGTTACATCTTTTGTGCCGAATATCTCAAGTGGAATGACTAGAGCAGAGAACAGTACTCCCTCCTATAGCACGCCATTTCAGCTCGTCAGGGGAACTAAGCAAACACTCATGCTAGATGGGAATGTGCACGGCGAAAATGCAGTATTACTTTTAATGCACTGATTATGAAAGTACTGGAGAGTTGGGTTTACTATCGTTTTTTAATACAGGTTAGTTTTAATGCAACTCAATGAACCACATATGGCGCATTATCAAGGTGTGTTATAGGTTAAGAGACGGGATTAGATAATTGTCTCAATGTGATCACCAATCCCGACTGACCCGTGCTTTGTTGGTGAAACCCCAGCGACAAATCAAGTAACCGTTTTCACTCACTCAATACTTCTGTGCGAAAATATGAGCAGTCCTGGTAAGGTGCGATTTGGGGTCGTCACACAGTACAGCCGGTACGCACCAACATACAGCAAGATGGAAAACCGAAAGATTGCAGCTCCCGCACTTACCTTTTTTCGACTGTCAGGACTAGCGTAACTTTCCTTCGCCGTTGTGTTATGGAAACTGTTTTTTTTACTTACGCATTCCGAGCTCATCTGAAGCAGATGACATTGTTCTGGAAACACGAAGCAACTTCCTTCAATAGAGACATGTAGGAGAATCACCCCGTTCACCATAGACATAGTCGCACTGAGCCTTCACTCACCCCTTCACGTATTGCTCCCTATGCTTCTTGGGTTTGTGAAAACTATCATTTCAGCTGCAGTGCTGGGTTATTTGAAGGAGCACTGCATCAGCAACCCACATCGGTGTGCTGTTAGTCAAATTCACCCATAACACTCAGTGTGTAGACTTAAATCGTTCATGTTAGAGTAGGAGTTTGACCGTTCGCAGCGTCGGATCATACTCTGTCATAGTCATGATTGTGTTAGTGAGACCCGAATCCTGAGACGAGTGAGTGACTTTCCCCATGCACGACATTCGAAAGCAGGAGCCCGGATATTTTTGCCCTCTCCATTTTAAATGCAGTGAATGACATCACAAGTTTGGCAACTGCTCATCGCGTAACTGAGTTTTCAGAGTAACATCGGTGTAGTAGACACCTCAGCCTTTCTACATTTTTGCTGCTATTATGATATTTAGAGCTGGCAAGTGATATGATGAACATAACTTACTTCAAGCAAACCCCAAAGTAGACAACCGTTAGTTGGTCCACAGTGATCTACTTCTTAGAGGGAACAAGTGTGGCGATATGTGAATACTAGAGCGATACGCCTACGTTCCCTCACTTACAGAACACAATGTTCTTGTCTCCTCTCAATGGTGCGGCATGAGTGTGCGTGCATCTTGGGAACTCGGTTGTTCGATACAGATTGAGTCAGTATCAAGAAAGAGTAGTCGACATTATCTCATTGGCCCCACTCCAACATCTAATACCAAGGCTTTTTCTTAAACCAAATAGGCTTATTTCATTGTTTGCCACGACTGGGCTGATCTCCTGTGGTGACGGATTACAGCTTCCAGATTATAAAAGACTTTACCTATGCAAGGCAAATTACCACCAACTGACTGGTGTATAAAATAGTGTTATACTAGAATGATCCGCATGACGGACTGGGCTGAGCCTTCGTGGCCCATAATACATGTACAAAAGCAGCTCTAAAATGAACAAAACATATGATATACAGGTGATGGCTCATATGCTACTATGCCACACCGGCACACGGCCAGTTATTGCATGGAAGTGCAGGCGAAACCTTTCGAGGAAATACCTTGCATGGAAGCAGGTCCCCTGGGGATGGTTCCACGAGTGGCCGTATTACTTTAACTAGACATCTGTTTAAATCTGCTTACGTTATTGTTCCTGGTTTTTAACTTCTTTAATGCCTTAATCCTGACAAGTAGTTTAGTACCTGTTTTGGATCCATTGTAAAAAGCGTGAACAAATTTATTATTTTTTTGCGATCCTGTTGTACACATTGATCAGACCACATAGTTGGACTGCACCTCGAATCACCGAGGAATATACCATTTATTTATTTATCTAACTCGCTGGTCTAGATGCTCCACACTGTAGTACGGCAAGGAATGTCAGATTTAGAAGTTGGATTTTCTTGACGTCGGCGTCGTGACTTCATATGGTGATGCTGGATATCAAGTGATCCGAATTATGCATACCGGCATTTACTAAAACCACCCGTTGTTGATTTGTCCTCTGAGTTGGGCTGAGTCAGTCATCCATTACATCATCAAACTGATTTCCTTATCCGAGTTTATCAATATTGGAAAATCTTCACAAATCCAGTTGTTCTAATATCACATTTACTATTATCGAAAAGTGACCGAGTATCAGACTTAAAAATCCTGCTCATTTAATCCTACTAACTGTAAAAAGTTACAATGTCGCTTATTGGATTTTCGCCAGCCTTATTTGATCACGACCAGGAAATGATGCAGGACAAAAAGCGCTGTCATTTCCTCCATAGGAGAAGTTAATTGTGAAAATGCATTTTGCTTCTGACGAACAGTCAACGATCTACGTGGCGCAGGGGCTTGGTTATTGTGACTTCCCATCAGCTGCTGCTGCTGCTGTAGCAAAGAAAACTGCACAATAAAGTGTAGAAGTCAAGGCAAGCAACAATCAGTGGAGAGCTCGTTATACCAAATGTTAATGTCGCAGAACGTTTAGGCCTAGTCACGAATTTCATCGAAACCGCCTGACACTTGCAAGTGGATCTCTGCCATATCCAACCGCGATGCTTACCAAGCTTCGTACTGGGATTCATGCGCTTTAACGGATATATATCTTATTCCTTCATCCCACTGTGCGTAAGAAAATGCAGCATATCAACGCATCTGCAGCACTGGAAACGTGCGTTTGCGAAAAAACAGTGTGATACGTGATTTTGCACATAGGCTTTTAAGAGAATCTACTAAATTTTGTTGCCTCATTTTGTTGTCGTTTATGTCAAACACTGTTCGGCGAACGCTGAGTAGTTTTTGTCCAGCCGGGAACATCGATGTTCTAATAAAAGAAGTAAAAGGCCTAGTAGAACTAGCCGAAGCGCATTAAAAAGCTAACTACATGTAGTGAAAATGGCAATGCTAGAATATAGCTACAAATTATGTTGAAATGTGCAAACGGTAGCAAGAATAGGTACGGATTGTGAATCTTGTCAATAACTGATTAAGGTTTGCTCACCAAGAGTCAATATTCAATCAGATAGTTCTTGGTTTCACTGCATGCCTCGCCTCGCAAACTTGCTTTTTACTTACAACCGAAGGATTAATGGACAACATCTTTCCAGCCGCGAACTACCAGGGTTTGGCAACGTAGCCTGTCACCTAAGCGCAATAATACATTCGTTGTCTAAACCGAAGCCTTAAAATAATCATCAAACACAGGGCGCCGTTGCACCGGATTGAACTCGTCATACTTTCCTATTTTAATTCCCATTATTGACCACTCGTTCGTTAAGCTTGTGTTATTACTGGCGCTGAGCCAGTAGCTCAGCGCACTCGAAAACCAATCGCGTTCGGTTGGCAGTAACCCAGTGTAGTATTTTACCCTGATGGGGCTCATTGATGAAAAGTATTGGCACATTACTTGTGCTTACTGATGACGCACAAATATCAAACTTAAAATACTGCATGACAAACTAGCTGTTGCGCATGCGATTCAACGAATTCATGTTCGCTCCTCAGTATGCCTTGGGTTGATTTGCCGGACGAGAGGACAACGGACTTTGTCGGATACATGAGAGGATTAGTAACGCGCCTGTGTTCGTTGTCAACAATTATCATCGGTTTGTGAGAATCACTTCCCAGTTAGCATGTTTTTATTCCTCTGCATTAAAGTTTGACGTACTGGGCGTTAGCATATTTTCTTAACCGAATACCTTCCTGCTGACTTGCGCTTTCCCTAAGTATTTCATATTGTTCCTGCTACCCACGACTGCAGAGCAAAATTACTGACAAACTTCCACCAGCTAATCAAGTCGCATAGGCACCATATTCATGAACTATGTTCTTTCTCATATCTGAAACACGTTGTTTATCTCCTTCCACCTAGCGATCAAGTGAAGACATGAACACAGTCTCCTCGCACAGCCAGCTTTCCGGATGGAGACTACTTTCCCGATAATTCTTTGTGCCAACTAGTAAGGTGAACCTCCCAGTGCCTTAGCACCATCACTCATCCTCCCATTCAGTAGGTTGGCGCTTTGCGTCCACATTTCGCTACACACTGCTGGGATCAACTCATCTGGTATTGAAACATTTGCAACCTGACTACCAGCCTCGGCGAGCGCAGAAACAGTTGAATTGTGCTCAAGTTTACCTTCTGCGGCGCTTCCACATGCCCGCTCAAGAATTAAGAGAAGAAACTTTCGGTAGCATTTATGTATCTATAATTCAGCTTGAAACAATCCATCAGACCATGACGTTCAATCCATTTTTTCTACTTCGAACAAAAGTATATTATATTTATATTGACCTTTGTTTTTTATTCGTTACTCATTGTGCTCGATGTAGCTAACCTTCTTATCATACCGAAATTCTTACGCAACTGCAAGGTAACCCCGCCTTGTTAGTGGCATCCTCGCCACATTACTTTCCATGGTAGGACTGTTTAATTATGTGGCGTTTCCCTAAGAATATACGGTTTTCCACAGCATACTGTTTGCAATAAGAATGAGCGGTGATACACTGCATCCTATAGTTTTGCTACCGGTTAAAATAATTGAACATGGGTAGTGAGCTGAACGAGGGCGAACAGTCTATCCTCGCAAAATAGGGAAATATACGTATTACTAGTATTATTAGTATTAACTTGTCAAACGTTTGGAGCGTTGGGACGAACATTGTGGAAAGCAATTAAATCGGCCGAAATTGTTAGATTTCTCTTCAGCCGGTGATCGCCCTGCTCCTTCTGCTGTCTATTTGGATTCGCCCTCACGCTCAGAAGTCAAATGGGAGGTCGGACTGTTGAAGTTAAATAAAGCCGCAGGACCAGATGATGTTCATCCAGCCATCTTCAAATTCGTGTGCCCTGCTCTTGTTGCTGAGTTACATGAATTACTAGTGAAACTGTGGGAGCAGGAACTTGTCCCAACCGACTGGAACTGCTCCGTTATTGTTCCGATTTTCAGTGGAGGATCGCGTGCAGAATGCGAGAACTATACAGAAATCAGTCTGATTCCCATCGCCTCCAAATTATTTGCTTCTATAATCCTTCACAGACTGACCGGCGATCGTGAAAGCCATATTGATGGGGAGCAGACCAGGTTTCGTCGTGGTCTGGGATGCATCGACCACATATTCACAGTACTTCAGTTGTTGGAGCATCGTCACATATATTGACGGTCCACCGTTGTCGTGTTCCTCGATATCAATGGTTAATTCGATTCAGTGGATCGACGTGCCATTTGGGACTGTCTGATAAGTAATGGTGTGCACGAGAAGTATGTAAATATTATACGAGCGCTTTACGCGCGTAGCTCTGGCAGAGTGAGGGCTTACAGCAAGCTGTCACCGCCCTTCAATATCTTTAGCGGTGTGCGACAACTGTCACCTTTCCTGTTCAACTCCGCTATTGACGAAGTCATGGAGATCACGTTCAGAGGTGACGACTTAAAAGATGTTAAAAGTGTAGAGCAGCGCGTAACATTCATGAGTCACCGCGAAATCAAGCGGAACAAAGCAAAGTAACCAGTCACATGCAACGACACATGACTATTTGGATGAACGTGGAATTAGTAACCCGAAAGCATATACGAATCAATTTAGCATAGAAAATACTCTGAAGGTGACACGACACACACTACCGTGACATCACTGGAAACTGTTAATCGGTTGAAACTATGTGAAGTACTTGCTTGTGGCCCTCGGATAAAGAAGCTAAGAGTTCTTGCAATGGAACAAAGGTAGAAACAGGGTAAACAATGCCAAAGAAGGGGAATTCCAATGGGGTGGTTCACGCGAATAACATAAGTTCAAAAACTGACGGTTTGTGAAACGATAACCCCGTTAATACACAAGTAAATCCGTTGATCTCGATTTCGCGGATGTTAGTAAACACCATGTTTGTCTAAAGCTTGTCATCACTTCCTATTTATATCGCACAATGCGAATGGTGTAATACATCGACGAGTGCTTTTTAAGAGACTGGGTAATGTGGACGCAGTAATGACGAAAGTGCTAAAAAGCATTCCACGGCTGACACATTCGAAGGGAAAAATAATTCCCTTGGCACACCAACTAACGATATCTAGTGACCAGTTTCTGTGGGTGGCCGCTCAGTTTCGTGTTGCCGCTAAGTTTAAAGTGGTAGCAGCAAACGTTATTAGGGTTTGTAAAATCTGATACGCCAGAATGAGGTAACTCCGTAGGCGAGGTTACCTTCCACTGGACTTTCAGTCACAGTTGGCATGGCAGGCTGATCATGCCCTTTATATTTTTGGCCGCCCCTCGCTTTGGAGTCTCCAGTGCATCCAGAACGCGTTTCAGCCGGAGTTTCCAGGCCTGAATCGTGTTCTCCACATTGGACCTCACCTACACGTTTAGCAGGTCAGATCTTCTTGGAGGTAGACAAGGTCGGATGCTGAGCGAATGGCTCTCCATCTTTTAGCATCGTCTGCAAATATTTGCAACGGAGATACAATGTCTATTGGAAGGTCCCTAATGTAGAATAAAAACAGTAGCGGGAGGAGAACGGAACTTTGCGGTACACCACTGCAGACGAACAGGCTTGCAGAGTGAGTGTCGGCTACTCTTACCTTGATTACTCTGTCCTGTAAGTAGTCTTCTAACCAGGTGCGCAGGGAACTGTTGATACCGTAGGCAGCTAGCTTCTGGAGGAGAACGAAGTGATTGACCCTGTCGAATGCTTTAGAAAAATCCAAGTAAATCACATCTGTGGGGACTCCTTCATAAGCCGCCCTGGTCCATGCGTCCCGAAGTAAGCAACAAATTGGTGAGACAAAATCGTCTGCGTCTGAAACCATGTTGGGCATTAGAAATTATTTGTTGACTTTCAAGGTATCGCGTCAGTTCACCTACAATTAGCGATTCCATCACTTATGATAAAACAAAAAGAAGAGTAATATGTTGGTAGTTGGCAGGATCCGATCACTTACCTCCTTTGTACATTGGAGTGATAATTCCATTTTTTCACTTATTTGGGAGTGGATGGGAGTTAAGCGGACACTGGACAGAGATTGCAAGTGGTGCTGCTATGGTGCGAGAAAGGGTTTTCAGTACTTTTGGACAGATCTGGTCGATTCCAGGGGCACTGTACTCCCGGCGAGACTGTAATTTGCTTGCAACAGCTTCTGGACTAAAGGTAAGGCTGGATAAGCCAACAACATTTGTTGTGAGTTGGTAGGGTGAAGGTTCCATGGTATTTGTAGTTACCGCGCCAAACTACAGGAGCAGAGCGTTCGCGGCAATCACAGCAGTAGTTGTTAGGCCACTGGCCGTCTTGAGTGGTGCTGTTTCGGGCTAAACCTTGCTTTCGCCATTCACAAATCTGTATAGTAGTTTGCTGTTACTGGTATATTTCAGCACCATGGTCTTCTGCCATTCGTACTTAGCGACTCTAATGAGCGACATGCAGTAGTGTCTGATGGCTTTGTAATTCTGCCATATGATATCACATGGACTTAACGATTGTTGCCTCCAGATTTCATCCTCTCTGTTGTTTCATTTACGTGCTCTTCTTCGGATCCACCTATTGGTCCGGCGCGATGTTCGTAATGGTACAACCTTCTATGCTGATTGTATGACCCATTTAATTTTATCTTTCATTTCATTCCACGCATCATTCGTTTGACGATAAACAACAGCAAACAGGCCAATGTCGTTGCGTTTTAGTCGCAGATGACACCGGCGAGAGTTTATTATTCATATTTCCGAATCGTCTGTCAATTAGCATCGCAGGTTACTGCCTTAGTACAGAATTAACCTAGCACCTTGCTCAGGTGATCATTTCGTACAAAGTACATGCCCAATCTAACGTCTTCGGCATCGGTATTCTAGAGTGCAATCCAGTTTCTGGTAGGACATAAGGCCCACGACATGTGTGTAGAATATTTTGTGCGTTTCGCTGATTTCAGTAATGAGTCGGGTGGCGTATGCATTAGGTGTGATATTGCACCGACTGATGACGTCTCGTTGACTAATCGACTTTTGGGTAAGGCGGCGACGAACTAATTCGTAATACTAATGAGTAAAAGGATGTTTAATTGTAAGTGTAATATTTTCGTCCGGGCAGCTCACAAGCTACCCAGTACAGCCTAGTCCGGAAAAGTACCAGACGCCTTTCGCCCTACTGGGGTTCGTCAGTGGTGCATATTCCCTCCATCCTCTACTGGGAATCGACAACCTCTAGAAGCGGATGCCAACTAACTGGCAGCTTAAGCCACTGAATCAGAGGGGAAGTTTTCTGGGCTAAACAATTTGCAAGCTAACTGGGACTCGCCAGTAAAGGCTCGTCAGTGTTGCGCATTCAGATGGTCCCCTACTGGAGACCACTGTCATCTGCTAAGGTAATAACCTGCGTGCTACTCGAAGGTAGGTCGCGCTATCTCCCAGTTAGCTTGCAAATCGTGTAGCCCAGACGACGTCCCCCATGACTCAGTGGCTTAACCTGCTGGCTAATGGTCATCTGCCCCTAGCGGTCATGGGTTCGATCCCCCGTAGGAGATCGAGGAAATGCGCACAACTGACGAGCGCCAATGGAGCGAAACGCTTCTGGTGCTTTTCCGGCCTATGCTGTGCTAAGTAGCTTGTACGCAGCCGGGAGCAGAACTAATTTGTGTCTGATCCAGTCTTCTTGCAACTTCCTACATGCTTATTTGTTTTTATGTAACATATGACTTGGGTCCACCAATTTCACCCACTAAAGAGTAATGTTATCCGAACCGTTTTGGTTACGTGGTTTACTTAAATTGCTGATGTCGTGTGCTGGCTTTGGGACGTCGTTACGAACCGGATCACAGAAGGTAGTCTGCTACAATCCGTATATCAGCAACCTAAACGATTTATACAAGGTTGGTCCTGGATACTGATTCTTTAAGGTATTATTCTTGACCACGCTTCGTCTCTTTACTCTCGTTCTACTGAATATCCGGGTAGGTTCGTTTGGAATATAACCCATTCCGGAGACGAGCTGTTGATAGCTGCACTGCTTTTGCTTCATCGTCAGAAGTCAATACAACTCGAAGAAGTCTCGGTTCATCATGGTGGTCTGCGTTAGGGTGACTTGGGACCCGTGTCAAGTTAGTGGGCTTAGCTACAACAACTAAGATGTCACACATGAAATTACGCTGGTTTACCTCATCGTTTTCTGTTAAGAATTTTGATCTCGCTTTTGAAACGTTGGTGCAAAGTACTAATGGTACACTATGTGCAATCTTAATGCTCATTTGTACAGCCTGCATTATGATAGACCGCTCCGTAGGTGTGCTTATGACTGATGGTGGTTAATTGTGTATCCCTTCGCCTTCTGCATTTATTTTGGGTATTTAGAGTAACTGAAGACCTAGATTTCCGGATGATTTTGGCAGCAACTATGTTCCGACCAGCACATGAAGCAAATCCCTTAAGAAATTTCAGAACAAATTATATGATGGACAAGTCCATGGTCATAAGTATTCCCATAAGGATGGCAGTAGTTGGTTCAGAC